AGTGTTTCTTCTTGTCCCTACAGTGTGCTGTTTGAATGCTGTCTGTGCAGAGTTTGACTCTAGAAGGATGTTTTCACATTCATCTGCTGAAAGTGGAAAGTTTCTCTGAGCTTATTGAACATCTGATTTTAAGGGGCTAACAGATTTCATAGATTGTGTAATAAATAATTAGGTAGAAGGAGTAGATTACTTTTTAAGGAGTTTAATGTGGAAGTTATACTTTTTGTTATGCAGGCACATTTATACCGTAAAACTTCTAATAAAAGCAAATATGTCTCCTTTACTAGCCTGGTGTTGCTACACGCTTTGACAAATAAAGGCAGGTCTCCATTAGAAGCCTAGTCTGGATTTTAATGAAATTATATGGATGTTTTAAACAATATGGACATGATACACATCGTTAGATCAGTTCCACAGTTCAACCCTTTAGTCCATTTTACAGAGACATTGAGAACCAAAGTAAAATTCCTTCAGATTTACCGGCACGGTGAACAAGAAAGCATTGTCATTAAAGTCTGTACCATACGGTTTGTGTCCGGAGATCAAAAGAATCAAAGGGTTTCATTAGAACTAATCCAAGCTGTGAGTATTGCCATCTTTATATCCACATTATTAGCATTGCTAAAAGTTCAGTCTGTATTTGCCAATAAAAGCACAAAGTAACTCAACTAACTGAACTAAAACTATAAAGTCATCCACAGAAGTTGGACTCCTCTCGCCCCACCCAGCAGCCTTCAGCAGCCCCCTGTACCTGGCTCAGGTGTGTCACTGTACGTACCCTGGGCATGGTGAGGACCAGGTGTCCGGTGGTTTGGGACCTCTGAGCTGTCGAGCTGTCGGGCTTCACTTCGGCCGGCAGAACCATCTGAAATATCTGCAGAGTAAATTATTCATAACTTTAATTAGCAAGATTAATGCGCTGATCTGGCACCGCCGCCGTCCCAGTGTGTCAAATGACTTTAATCATTAGGGGGCCTTTTTATAGGTACACTTTCCAGAAAAGAATCGGAGGGGGGGAGCGACCAGAATAGCTCCAACTGAGAACGGCGGCAATCAATCACTGGAGCGAAATCCTATGAAAACCTAAATGACCCATGTGGGAGGAAAAATGGGCGTAAAATTAGACTTTTTCATTTTTCAATCTACTTTTATTTAATTTAGGGGGGAAACCGTGGTAACAGCAGGCAGAGGAGGAAGACTCCAGCTGTCCTCTAACTCCTCCGTCCCGCTGCTGATCGTGGCTGACTTGATATACACGCCTCGCAGATGACTCCTCCGGTCAGTTCCTCCAAATGAGTTCATATTTAGAACGAATTTTAAAGGCCTGGGCTGATGTATCGCCGCGTAAATCACACCTCCCGTCCCATCAGGCTGACCCCTGGCATAAAACAACCATCCATAAATACGCGAACTGCTGGAAGCGCAGCCATGACATTCAGGACTCTGGCAGCGAGGGCGGAAGAACTCCAAACCTGCACAGCTTCTGTATTCATCATGTGTTTGCTGAAGGGTGGAAACAAAAAAAAATGACACCTCGTGGATTTATGTGCAACCAAACAGCTGTTTAATCAGGCTTAAAGGTTGCTGTGGTCTGTTTGTGGGAGATTAACATACTGAGGGAAATATGGACATCAGTGGCCACAGGTGTAAATGATATAAATGCCATTAAGTGGTAAAGAATGTGTCAGCTCACACAGTTTTACAGAGATGGTCGCAGGTGAAATGATGAAGAGGAGATTAAAGGTGTAATAATCACAGGTATGTTTTCATTAGTGTTTAATCACCTGAAAATGAGAATC